ATCACTTGTATTCTCAGGAAAACAGTAGCCAGGTACACGCTCATGTTTTGTGAAGACGGAACATAGTAGCTTCAAGTCTTTGTTTTGCTATTTACTTTTGGAGTCAATCAAGTTGTGATTCGAATACAATGTAAACACTTTATTATTAATACAATGGTTGTTGTTGCTTTGAAAACTATTATTCATTGTTATGATACTGTACATGACGTCCTCCGCCCCCGAACGTTTCTGTCGTTCCGGTTTGGGGGTGTGACAAGAAAGGCCTGAGACCCAAACCTAAACAAGGAAAAAAGCCCAACAAAACTCGAGCCCAAAATCCCTTAAGCCCATAGACTACGTACACACGACGTACAGGGCTCGTACGCCCGACGTACACTATTGATCCGGAATCGGGGCACTCGCCCTGTGACATCCCCATTTTCTCGGCCAGAAAAGACCGATTTTGTTTATGCTTTATAAAAATCAGAGTACTTCTTTTGATAAAAATGTTGCGGAATTTGTTCCCAGTGAAACATGATAAATACGTTATCAAAGCATTTCCGAAGAAATGTATTTTTATTCATTTTAAAACATTTTGATGTCATTTTCAATACAGAAACATAAGCATAAACATAACTTATATTCATTTACACTAGTGATCTACACCTCTTTAATCTCTTAGTGTAATGTAACTTCGTATCGGCACCTGTGATTCAAATAAGCTTGAGTGGGTCAGGTTGGGAAACCTGCTGAGTACATAGGGTTTTCAACCCACAATAATATAATTATTATGTTTAAACATCAAACAATCAACCCAATTACCCATCCCCATTATCTTCTTTACTCTTAAGGATCTACCCTAAGAATTAGCTATTCCTCGTTAATTCATTCCTAAGGATCATCCTAAGGAATCGGCACGAAATCCATCGTTGCCAGGGTTTACTCGACAGGCACTAAGTCGCATAGTCGCCAGGGTTTAGGCACTAAGTCTCATAGTCGCCAGGGTTTACACAACAGACACTAAGTCACATATTCGCCAGGGTATAGAGTACACCGGGTGAACACATCGTTCACAGCACCTACAGGTTACGAGCCTGCTAGTGTTCCACTGGACTGTCTAGAATAGTCTGTGGTTGTCATCCATACTCTGCTAGATGACGGGGCCATCGCTTGGGTCATCGCTTAGGTCATCACTTAGGTTATCGCTTCTCACCATAATTTACCACTCATATATCATCGCTCATCATTCATCTCATCTTTCATCGCTCATCATTTATCTCATCTCTAATCTACCCATGTTTTACCCAACATATTTTGTAGATATAAAATACATATACAGTTTAAATCATTTAAAACATGTATAAAATCGTTCATCCAACATAGATAGCAAGTATACATATAATTTGCACACGTAGCACGTAATTTATATAAAAATACTTCATATCTATGTGTAAGATGAAAGTAACTATGCACTCACTTGTTAAAGTGACGACTCGATATTCGAGCAGCGCTTCGCTTCTTAACAATATGATTTCCTTCGACGAAACCTAGTATTATTACCACTAGATTTTAGTCTAATATTTATTGCGACTAATTATTAGTCTAGATTCATCATTAACTCAGAGTCTACTTCATGATCTATCATGTAAGGAACAACCAGGTAGGGTCATATCAGAGGTAGGGTCCGTTTGGTATACGAAGTATACTGTTTGGCAATCCCACTTTAAACACCTCACTAAATCACAGCCTTGACATCATCCCCATCAGTAGATTAATCAGTATAATGACTTTGAATCACTGATAAATCTTATTTATAGGTTCATAATAACGATATTATATTTAAATATAGCTATATTTAAAGTAGGGTAGGCGTATCTCACTTACATCAGGTTTTGCTAAAAACCGGTTTCTGCTGGAGCAGAGCTTCTGAGCCGTAAAGCTCTTTTTCTCGGAGCCTTCGGGCGCTCCGGGTCTTTCCTCTAGCAACTTGAGGTTACTAGGGATTTATAGGGGTTTTGGGAGTCTATAGAGAAGTTAGAGAGAGAAAGAAAGGCTTATGGTGTGAAGAAAATATGAATGATTCACACTTTATTTATAGGGGTTTTATCGTAGAGTAGGCCCTAAGTTTCGTTCGTATCTTCCGCGTACGAACTCCGTTTTCTACGTCTTTATATCCACACGTTGGTATTTACGAGTACTACAACTTTCATTTAGACGCCGTCGGATAATTCTCATTCTATCTCAGATTTACAAAACTGTATCGAATTCGTCGCGCTTGAAGAGTTGGGACTAAGTTTTGTCCATATCTTTCGCATACGAGCTCCGTTTTCGACTGTCTTTTTATCGTTTAACTCCTATTAACGATATCTTCATTTCTCGTTTAGATTATTTTGGCTAAAAATCGACCGATCTAAAATTCGAATTTTCGGGTTGTGCACTGTTATGTTAAATCTTAGAAAAATCATAACTTCCTCATACGAAGTCAGATTTGGACGTTCTTTTTTATGCAAACTCTCGGTTTAACATATACTACGACTTTCGTTTAGATCTCTAAGGCTAGAAAGTATTTTATCGTAAATTCATTTTTTACGATTCCCAATGTCGTGCCAGGTTTTGCCGTAAAACTTCGACAGGTCATAACTTCTTCGTTATAACTCGGATTTCGGCATTCTTTATATGTACGGAACCCTTGTGACATATACTATAACTTGGTTAAGATACTCCTTCTAAATAATCTTCCATCAAAAAGTCATTTTTGACGCTCATTGTCTCTAAATTGACTAGCCCGAATCTGCGGGCGTTACACGCCCAGTGTACCCAGGAGTATGCCCGACGTACTGGTCACTCAGCCCAAATATGTTCCAATGACTTAACCCATTAAGCTTTAGCATCCAAAATTTAAATCCAAACTCATAAAAGTGTATTAAGCCATAAAGTTGCAAAATTTATGCTTTTGTATGACTTAATGGGACTCAAACAATGGATTAAGCCTTCTATCTCTCATAAGTGGTCAAAAACTCATGCATGGTTGAGTCTTAACCTCAAAGATTCGATTTTTAGGACATTAAGCACCCCTAAGAGCCCAAAAGGACAACTCAAATGGTCTGGAGTAGTCCATACTCCATGAGACAAAGTTATGGGACCAAAAATGTTAAGTTCTTCCCTAAACCTAGATTTAAGCTAAGAATGAGCAAGTTTCAGACTTTATGCCTCCAATGAGCTAGAAATGATGCACAACCTCTAGATCTACAAGCTTCTTCTTGTCCTTTGCTTCTCCTTAAGCCTCCTTCTTCAAGATCACAAAAGTAACACCCAAAACTCTTAGCAAGCTCAAGAATGCTCTTCAAGGTGGCTAAGGTTTCGAGATTATCACAAAAGGCAATGGGGGCTGATAAGGTAAAAGACTTGAGGGGTTTAATGAGCTTAAATAGGGTGAAAACCCTATCACGTACGCCCCGCGTACGCATGGGTACGCCTAGCGTACATGGGGGACGCCCCGACTTTGCGCATGCATGGGAGTAAGCCGTGCGTACCTTGTGTACGCCCAACGTACTTGGGCCTAGTCCACGGGTAATAAGAAGTTTAATGCGATAATTTTACCTGGCAAATCCGGACGTTACAGAGCATAAGTAAGGTTGTAAAATTCGATTATTGGCACCAGCAATCAAACTTTCGTCTACTGAAGGATTAAAATGTACATTTAATGTTTTACACTAAATTTAAAATCAAATATGATTGAACTAGATTTTGCTGAACATTGTGGTTATAATTATCCTAAACCTTATTTGCTTCGCTGTCAAGTAAGTTATATATTAGGAATGTTTCCTATTTATGTGTTTTAGAGTTTTTTAAAACTCTTTGTAAGACTATTATATAAATCCATCTAGATGTCTTATTTTACTCATTTCAACATCTTCTTTCTCTCCTTTATTCCTTGGAGATTTAGCAACAATATAACCCTTTAAGAGTGTCGTTTTCATAGTGTTTTTTTTTTCAATTTGGGTTTTCCACTTTATATCGTGGTGTTCGTGTGGTTATTCTATTACGTTTTTCAGCATTAATAGTTGATCTATTTTATAACAAATGGTATCAGAGCACGTTTAATTTATAACACATTGAATTCAATCAAATTTTCATGGACGGAAAGAAGCTCTTCTGATTCTTAATATCTGAAAAAATATCATTCCCTTTTACACTAAATTTAATATCATATAGTATTGAAGTAGATTCTGTTGAACATTGAATTCAATCTGACATTTCAATTAAAGTAAAAACACCAACACATCATTAATGGTGTCTATATCGCTACAACAAGTTCCTGGTTCTTGACGATTTTTCGTTCAACAACAAGTTGTAACTCAAGGTGAATAACCAAAGGAAAGTAAAATTTTTAGAGGAGATATCGAGAGTAGAAAGAGATTTTAAGAAATTGCCCATTGGGAGTAATGAGTTAACATGCGTTTTGCAGATACGATAATTAGATAGATGTAGTTATCTTGGTGAAGTGATAAATTCCGAAATTTGAGTAAATCACTGTAAATTAAAGAATATAATCAACACGGATGGAGAGAGACCCGATAGATATAGATGAAGCACATGGAGAGAAAGGCGACTAGAGGCATATATATTGAGAGCTATGTGATGGCAGGGGGTAAATGTGTCACCGATGAGACATGGAAAACCGTGGGGAAGAAAACAAACGTGAAAGAACGTGTAGGGGATGAACAATTAGGTTTTTTTAATATTTCTTTAGAAAGTACAATTATAAAGTAATAATCTTCAAAATACCATTAGATGATTAGATGGTAAATATTTTTTAGAAATAAAATGCTTTAGTAAAAAACTCTAGATTTATAAGAATACAAAATGGTACTATAAGGTGTTTACAAATACAATTACTAAAAATGGTACAAGATCTAGTGGCATCTAAGATCTATATATAACACTACTCCATTGTGAGAAGTTTACAAACTTACGCACCTATAAATTATCAGATTTCATTCCTTGTTTGAAACAAATGATCAGTAGATTACAGGCATATTTGAATTTGGATCCCAGCTACCTCCTTCCTTGAGGTATTGCATGTACCTTGAGAACTCTGGTTTAGCCGTCGCCTTCTTCCTCCGGCTCCTCTTCTCGAATAAGCTGAACAGTGGATGAACTTTACTAACTTTCTTCACTTGCTTCTCTATGAAATCTATTTTCGCCGGAACTTTGGGTGCTGACACATACTTCAACGGCAAGTCGCCGTAGAAGTTAGAAGGCAACGTCGTGGATCTGATCATCTGAGGCTCCGGCAATAGATAGTCGTCAACGGTGGGTTCGCTGATCAATTGATCGTATCCCCGGCGACCTCTCCTGGTGCTCATCGCTCTAAACATGGCTACAGAGTTGTAGTGAGAAAAGGGAGTTTGAGTATTGAGTTTGAGTGTTGTAATTTGGAAAGGGAGGAAGATGACAGGTTTTGTAGGTGTGGAAATTTGTTCTCATAGTCTTGTATGGTAGGCGATACGAAGAAAAACACATTCTCGGAAAGTGTGTTTGATGTGAACTCTTTTTCTTAAAACGTGAGGTTATATTTATAAATTAATAATATGTCGATCTCCACGACTCTTCGCTCTTTGAAAATGAATATAACATATTAACACAATAACATGTGCAATATGATTGATGTATTTTATTATAGTCTAACAAATATAATAATTAGTTTTATCACTATAAGCATGATAGTTGAAAAGCATATTTACTTTTATTTAATAAGTTTGTCGAAATATTAAAGGTTGATTGATCAAGACACAATCTAGTTTCAGTATATTGAAATTGAGGTTTGGTGAAATGAGTTCGAAATCGAGGTATAAATTAAACTTGGCTTGTGTCTCCAACCAAAAAAATGAACTGCGATGTTGATCTTGCTCTTTTCGGAAAATGGTCTATGTCTCCTTTATAGTATGTTTTTATTGAGGAATTAGATGACTATATATGGATCACCTGAACTTAAGTTTATAGATGTTGCATCATCTTATAATTAAGTTTATAGATGTTGCATCATCTTATATATAACTAAGAAGAATACGAAAGATAGTCCTTTATGCTGTAAAAAATTAATTTTATAGATGTTGCATCATCTTATAGTACTCAATCCATTGTTGTTGGACCATTGGATAACACCCATACTATTGTTGTTCTTTATCATTTTGTTGGACCATCATTCCCTCCCAACCCACTCAAACTTATTGTCACATTAGTTTTTTTTTTTTTCTCTTCTATCTTTTCCAACCCACAGCACATAAAAATCCTATTTTTCTCAACCCATTCAACACACTCAATTAAAAAACATACAAAACAATTAAGATACAAGTCTTAAGGCACAAGGTACGAGAGAGAGAGAGAGAGAGAGGAGGAGGAGGTAACGGCTTACTCAAACCGTAAATCACCAACTTATCTTCAACTCGCCGCCTAAGGGACCATATATTGGAGGTACCACTGGTACCTCCTATAAAAAGCTAATGATATTGTTCCCTAACACCAAAACTAGTGTTGTTGATTATGAGGTCCCATAAAAAGCTAATGATATTGTTCCCTAACACCAAAACTAGTGTTGTTGATTATGAGGTCGGTCAATCTAGCATTTTGGTGATTATGATGTTGCACATTACAACACTGATATAGAATTTGACATTTTTTGACTTGGGGTTGAGTACGAAGAGCATGTTAGTCATGTAGAGGAAGAACGTTGAAAATATAGATGGAAAAATATGTTGGCAATGAAGTTGAAGAGTGATAGTGAGGAGGATGATATTAGGTTAGATGGTGATTTCATGTTGGATGAAGATAATTTGGTAGCAGGACCGGCCCTGATGGTGGGCAACTCGGATGGTTGCCCATGGCCTGTATCTCTAAGGGACACAAAAATGTTAGGCTATATATTTTATACTAGGTTATAACCCATGGAAACCACGGTTGTTATTTTTATAATCATTATTATAGGCAAAATAAAATAAAATAGAATATGAACAAAAAAATAATATGCAACTTTAATTGTAAGAAAACATGAAATAATGTGAAGTTTGATAAATTACAGAAATGTATTTTCAAAGTACATTAATGCTATAAGTTGTAAAATTGTTTTAATTAAAAAAAGGACAACAATAAAAATGACATTGCTGTTATTAGCCAAAATAAGTATAATTTTATTGAAAAAATGATAGGGGTAAAATGTTCGTTTACTTTCTATGTGTATACAAAAAAAGTAGTTTCATGGGCAAAACAGAAAGAGCATTGTACTTTTATAGGCGAAACAAAAAATAGCCTTTTAGTTTCATGGACAAACCAAAAATAACATTGTACTTTGTAAGGTTAAGACGTTATTTGTAAACTGAAACTACAATTATGAAATGGTACTTAAAAAGTACAATGCTTAAATAAGAATAATGTAAAAGTAAGACATTGACACTTGTTACTTTGACAAATATATAAGTTCATAAGTAGAACACACTATGCAAATAATCAAGCAAATGGTAAAAGAAGTAATTATAAAGTATCGATAATCAACCTAAAGGTAGCATAAATTAAATCAGATACATAACGTACTATGTTGCTGTTGTATTTAAACATATAAAAAATGTTTTTTAATGTGCTTCTAATTTTTCCTCATTAGACAATGTACTTTGAAAAATAACCCAAAACATTGACTAATTTTGGAATTCACAGTTATTCATTCAATTTTGAATATGTTTCTGAAATATTTTTTCGTTCAATAGCAGCCTAAATTAAAGCAATGTAAACTCATATGATTTTTCATTTAATAGCATCATACTTCCTATTTATGTCATATTATGTGTATGTTTGTTGTAAATAAATGTATGTTAGTATAAATTGACTAATTTTAATACTCACGATGACGTAAAAAGAGGAAAATATAGTCATTAGTCTACATATATAAAGAACACGCCTTCATATTCATATTTCTATGGAAATATAGTTGGGGAATCAATAGAGATATAAGCACTATATCCCTTATATAGAGCACCTTCATATTATTGTTTTTAGCTTCAAAAATCTACACAATAAACCTTTTACATCACTAAAGAGATTAGTCAAAATTAGAGTGAAAATGATGTTAATATTGTATAGTCCAGTTTGTACATCCTAAGTAGGACGCTAAATTGATGGTAAATTAAAAAAATGAACTTATAAACAATTACCATTTCCATATCTTGATAAACAAAGAATCAAACCATTGTAGCATTAGAAACTTTTGAAGTTAGAAGTCAAATTATCTTATTCATTTGGTTTTGAATCGTTTGCTGGGAATCACGTATCTCTTCCAAAAAAATCATTGTATCAATCCTTTACCGACATTTAGTTTTGAATCATGTTTTGGAATCAAGTAAAAAATATTAAATTAATTTTTTTTTTACAAAAGTTTTAAATTTTGTTTTCTTATTAAAGCATTCCACTTTGTGAGTAGAATGATATATATAGGTAGCCTTTGAAAGTATAATGTATATGTTTGTATTTCTATGTATATTTGGGGTTGTGTGTATGTGTGCTCATGTGTATGTATGATTGTATATATGTGTACTGGTCTAATAAAAGTAAGAATTGAAAGTATGTTGCTATAAAATAATAAAGAGTATAGAAGCTACCAGTTATAACATTTCTGCTACATGCATATATTCTGCAATAAACATAAAAGAACAAACTTCAAAGTGAAAATTGTTTAGGATATGAAAAACAGAAAACAGTCAACCTATAGTGCATGGCCTGGGATGGTTAATGAGCACATCTTTGATCTTCCATTGATAATAAATGCAAATTGAAAACATAGATTAAGTCGACATAATTATGAAATCGCTAAAACTAATGAAATTCTATCGATAATTTATATATTATTCAAAATAACATATGAAGGGGACTATACATTTCTATTTCTTTTTTAAACCATGTTTCTTTAAGAACATGTAGCCAATCAAATCATAAAGGTAAATTATTTATTGCCTTCACTACAATCATATCTTGAAAAGAAATAATATTAATAAAAAAAGAATGGTATTTACCTCTCTCATAGGCTAGTAACATGTATTGGAGTCGAGTTCCATGTGTGAATTAACTTGCCTCAAGGTTGAAAGGCTCGGCTGTTTGAGCATAAAAGGTGCATGTGATAGAAAATATATGTTAAATCCACAAGAAATCTCAACTTTATGATAATGATGAATAAAATTTATACATCATAGATATCGTTGCTTTTAGGACCATTAACAACCATATGGACTAATGTTTATAGTTTTAGAGAAGGTTTGTTCACATAGGTTTCTTGTAAAATCGATTACTATTAAACGCCCACTTCAATCAACTCCTCTAAAGATGGCCAGGGGTTAGTGCTCTGTAACTTGGTTACCACCTCTTACCTTTAAAAACCATTAAATAAATAAACAAGTGAAATCATGATACACGACCCATACTGTTAATGATCATCCAAAATAATTAACTTAAAATCCAAAGAGGATAATCTAGATATATTCATTAACCATGAGTAGCACAACCATAATCCTTAGGCTCTCTTGCGCTTCAATATTTATAAAATTAAATGCAAATGTTAAGTGATTAAGCTTTCTTTGTTCATTCATGATCCTAGGCCAACCAGACTTCCATAAACCAAAGAAAAAAGTCATAAATAATAAAACTTACTCAGTGGTAGGTAGAGCAGGAAGAGAAGTTCTAGAGATGCGACCAAAATCTATCCATTCTTTGGGATACATAATGGAAAACATAGAATACATTAATATCCTGTTCCACATGACTAAAATTCCTAATAGATTCAAAAAAGAACAAAAAGTAAAACTCATTATATTACTTTTAAAAGAATGTTTTCGTCTAAAAAATTAGAAGAAAAGCCAATACGATTCACAAACCTAATATTAAATCACCAGTTAATATAATATTGCAATTTGAAATTAACAATTACCAACCTTCAACCAAAGAATCTTCAGGTGTAGTACGCTCAGGTCCAACCAAACATATGTTCAATGATCCTATTTAAGAGGACACAAAAAATGCACAAATTGGACCTGTTAGAAATTACTCAACAAAATATAAGTTACATGTGTAAAAGGGAAATTGAAGTGTGATAATCAAAATTACAAATCACAGGTTGCACAAATCGTCAAAAGAACCAAAAGCACATGATCATTGATCAATTTAATACAACTGTTTAAACCATAAAGTAGATCTAACCCACCACATTGCTTAGCATGAAAGTAATTTTCCAAGCTGATACCTACTATCCCGACAATAAAGAGAGAAACAAAAATTTCAAATTTGAAAGCAAAAAACATAAAAAATATTGATTAAACGATCCAAGTGAAACGATTTTAACCTA